AAACATCGGGGTCGATGCTTTCCTCAGAGGGGATGATGTGGGTCTAGAAAAATGTGGGTATTAAAGGAGCTGTGAAGGCAAAGATCTATATTTTTTTTCTTAACGGCAGATATCAGACTTTAAGCGAGAAAGAGAGAGAAAGACAGAAAAAAAGAGAGGGGCAGAGAGAGCGCGAGCGAGAAGGAAAAAAGAAAATCTGCGTACCTGCACAACTTGCCCCATTGGCAACTCCAATTCCGGGTCGCTGCGGGAGCTTCCGGCCACCCAAGGATGCTTGAAGACCTCTGCTAACTAAACAGCAAGGCTTAGATGTATACAAATCTTGAAAATTCGGAGAAACGATGGCCTAAAAATATAAACGCTTAACAACGTACCGATAACCGCTTTTGCGGATCGACCTCAATCATCGACCGCAACAAATTCTGACAATCCGTCGGCACAAAGTGTGGGATGTGAAAAACACCCTTCTTAACCTTTTCAAGCAAATTCCTGAGGTTGTCGTCATCGAAGGGGAGGGCGCCCTAGGATTTTTCGTTTAAGACTCAAGACAAAACTGACTTACCACTAGTAAGGCGTAGAGGATCACGCCGCAACTCCAGACGTCCGCTTTCCGACCGTCGTACTTTTCACCCTAAAGAATGAATCCTTGAAAATCGAATTTTTTCATACCCGAATAACTTCCGGACAAGCATAATGCGGGGAACCGCAGCTTGTCTCCAGCATGGAGCCTTCGACTTGGAGGGAGGCCATTCCGAAGTCGGCGACCTGCAGGTATTCCATTTAAATGAGTGAGAAAGAGAGAGCGAGAGAGAGAGAGAGAGAGCAGAGAGAGAGTGAGGTACGCAACGCGACCGCAGCCAAAATGCACGCTGAAAAACCTCAGACCTTGATATTATTCCGCTCATCCAGCAGCAAATTTTCCGGCTTCAAGTCGCGATGACTAAAATAGATAAATAAATATAAATCTGGCTTCTTCCTACCAAATATTATGGGCATGGCAAAAATCGAGGGCCGAAATGATTTGGCGGAAGAATTTCCGCGCTTCCTTTGACATGAGCCGTCCCTTTCGGACCAGATAGTCGAATAGCTCGCCACCGGAGACGTGCTCCAGGAGTAGATATCTAGTCAGTCAGAAAGGTGATGCGAGTAATTGTCTTACAAATATTTCTTATTCTCATAGACATCGAAGAGGTGGAGGACGTGGGGGTGTTCGATGAGCTTCATGATTGCAATTTCTCGTTCCACCTGAAAAATTTGATTTTGTGATTGCCTTATTTTCGTTCATTTTCGTCAATTTATTTTTGTCTAGCGATAAGAGTAGCATCTTGTAGTTCTACGACCCATTAAGCCAGGAAATCACGCGCGGGGTGACAAAACCGGAAAAATACATAGCAAAATAATCCCTTTCATACCTTGGCGGTCCCTTTAAAATACCGATGTTCCCCTAAAAAAACCCAAATTATTTGCCATACCTCTCTCGCTCTAGTTTTCTTTTTTCAGTAAGCCTTCATCCAACTGCCCCGGGGCCCCAGGTTGATGAACGAATCGTTCTTCTCCCCCAACCCTCCGGGATGCCTAATCCCTTTTTTGTCGCTGGCACGGGGTGCAGAAAAGCTGTACCCCCCACCAGTAAAGTGTTCCCCCGGGCAGCAGCCACTGGCCGAATTGAATGCTCCAAACAAGAACGCCCCGTCGTTTTCTAGTCTGGCTTTCAAAGAACCGGGGCGGGATAATCGCCCTCCAGTGGTGTGTGGATGAGGGATTTTGGGCCGGAAATGGTGGTGTAGTAAACAGGTCATTATTAATTTCATAATTTGGAAAATAAGGTAAAAATAGGACTAACCAACGAAATTTGAAGACTAGAAACTAGACTCCCTTAAAAGGCTCGAAAGATGCATTTGGCGCAAAAGCAACGGATTTTTCAGCAGGCGGGAGTCGAACCAGCGATGGTTCTCCCCACAGCCTAACGTGCTAACCAGTACCCCATTGCGCGGCGAAAAGCCCTCGAATACCCTAGGAGGATTCTCCACGCTGTTTCCGGATTTCTTTATGTGGCCCTTTATGAACACGATCGGGGTTTCAAGGTATCTGCAAGGCATGCCGGTGGATTCTCGCTAGCAATGTTTGATTGGGTAAGAATTTTGGAATTTTTCGAGGCGAGCTACACTTAAGGCAACCCGCAACGCTACGAAGCGTGCCACTGCGTTCCCCAGAAGACGTCCCTATTCCTATACGTAGTGTGAAAGTGCGGGTGCGTTGCGTATCGCGGGCATAGAATAATCTATAGGCTGCGGGAACGCGAAAATCCATATGATTGCCTTGCTGGGCCCTTAAAAAATAGCGGTCCTACATTCTTATGGTACTTTTCAGTTAATTATGCATTAATGGAAGGTTTATATTGCTTGAACTTTGTGCAGAGAATCTGCGGTAAATGCTATTTTCAAAAAAGCTCTTTAAAAAGTTTAATCCAATTTGCACTCTCCATCGATAATTTTCTCACTTACCTTCTGCAACACCGACTCGCTGAGCTTCTCCTTGTTCACAATCTTGATGGCCACTTTGCGCCCCGAGATGCAGTGCGTTCCCGTTTTGACCAAACCTGAAAAGGGACTCTTCTTTTTTTTCGCGACACCCATCAGCCCATGAATATTGAAGCGGTACTTCTTGCTTGCCGTCCCAGGCCCAGTGACGCTCCTAATATACCCAAGAGACGGGGCGACGGGAAGAAGACTATTTTTGCGTCAGCACTTTTTAGTCAAGTACCAGGGGTTTGTCTGGGGGAGTTTGTAAGTTGCAGGTGTATTTTGGGAAAGATGGAAGTAGAATTTCCAGGGACTTGAAGGGACCGGTAAGTCGAATTCACTAAGATCGATTTCGTTGAACTAGTCATAGATGTGTCGAAAGCCATTATATGGAAATTTGATGGTGTTTGCCGGAAATCCTTTGCGGAAATTTCATTTTGTCCGATGCTTTTGTTCAAAGTATTTTTGTCGATTTCATTTTTTACAAAGCGTTTTGTCAAAGTTTCAATACGGTCAATTTCATTTTTCCGAAACATCTTCATCTTCCACACCCAGATTGAAATTGCAATTGTAATGATATTTCGACAAACCGAATATAACCCCGATTTTAAACCGTTGATAGAAAGTGAAAAATTGAGAATATGATTGAGTCAGTTAAAGTGTTCAATTTGGTAGAAATTTAATAAGGCAACCAAGGCAGCTGACGCACTAATGATAGCCGGTATGCCCGCAAACTTGCCGAAAACACCAAATGATCCTTTACGAGCCTGGTGCTGACTATTTTCCCTCTGCTAATCCCACCAAAAAAAATATTGAAAACTTCGATTTCGGTTCTAGGGTATCGGCGCAGAAATGAATCCACATGACAAAAAGCCAATTTCACGCAGAATTCATATTTTTTCTATTCCTAGAAGTCCATTCAAGGAATTCCCGACTTTTCTGCAGTTTTGCATTTTCAAATTCATTCAAACACCTTTCCCAAGTTCCCACGCCCCAAATCCATCTTCTACGCGTTTTCCCCCTACATCCCATTTTGCGTCTAGCCGGCCGTGGAAGTGTGGGAGATGCGAGAAACGGCTGGCTAGCTGTCCAGCGCCCCCTTACCCCCAACACCCGGATTTATGGGAAGGGCCCAGACCTCCGGCTTCACCCGTGCTTCTTCCTGAACAATGCTCCCCTGGGGACCCGCCGGGGGCCCCCACAAACACACAAAACGGCTCTTTAGGTACTACCCCCTATCCGGGAGAAGCGGAACTGCGAGTGGTTCGGGGAGTTTTGGGGGTATGATTGAGTATTTTGGCCTGGAGGTCGGCTTCAGAGGCTGCCGAAAGTTGCAAAAATGTTGCAAAACAAAGGTTTGAAGCTGAAAATCTCTAAAACAGGATATAGTCTTATATCAAAGTGTAAAAAGCTAAAAACAACAATTGAGCGTGAATTACGAGTTGTAAAATTAGTATAAAAACCATAAAATCGTAATTTATCCAGCAATTTTCGCGGTTTTGCGTCCTGAATTCACTTTCTAAGAAGTACACTGGATTGCAATTTAAAAAACAGGATAGTTTTTCTCGCCCCTTTTTAAGCAGTTTTCTTTGGGTTTTTAAAAGTGGATTCTTTTCTAGGATTTCAGGCCAAGCAGCTGCGGAAATTGACATTTTTTAGGGGCATACCGTACAACAATTCCATAAAAAGTCTGACCCTAATTTTTCTAGTCCTTTTTTTGCCACATTTGACCCTGTCTTGCATCAGAAAATGACCAGCTGTCGGGTGATGCCCCCACCCGCATCAGCCCCTTCCCGGCGCCCTCCCCCACCCGGGGGTATAGCTCAGTGGTAGAGCAATCGGCTGCAGTCCGATAGGTCCATGGTTCAACTCCGTGTGCCCCCTACTCCTTTTTGCTTTTTGGGGAGAGGTTTCATCGCGACCGAGCGAAAAAGGCTATGATTTTACTTTTGCTTCGATTTCTTTTAGGAAGCAAGAAACCGGCCGTAAGGTTTGAGTTCGAACGTCCGGAATAGCGTTAGCTCCTCGTGATTTTCGGAGTTTCAAACGAAGTGAGCCAAAAATAAAGTTTCAAGGGGTAAAAACAATTCTCAAAGCACCACTTACCCGTCTGCCCCTTGCCGAGTGTCTTCTCGAGCTTGTACGGCCCGCAGTACTGGGCCTGCGGCGCGGGCCGCCCGGTACCTCCGTTTTCGGTAGCCATCCGCGAGTTCAGCTCATCATTCACCTGAAAAAGGGTAGCTTTAAATACGATATGCATCATTAGGCTACATATATCCAGGATCTTTGCCAAAAGTGAGCAACATAGAGCAAAGTCTCAAAAAGAGAAGCCGGGGATAGCAATTTCAAGGCAGGACGGACTATCTGACCTCGGTTCTGACGTCGAGAGCTTAAAAAACTTGGGTTTTGGACTTGCATTTTAGTATGTATTAAATTAAGCTTTTGAAATGTATAAAAGTTTTTTAAAACTAATAGAATGAGACTCTTTTATGCAAATCACACGCGAAATGTACCTAAAAGTAACCCATATCCTAAAAAAGCATTGTTTTCGATAATTTGGTAAATAGTAACGGTCATATCTAATAGCCTCCATAAAATTGTTGCAATCGTCTATACAATACGTTTTGTATTTTCGTAAAGAAAAGCTTTTAAAATAGACAAAACTTATAAATTCTTGCAAAACTATGCAAAGTACACTCCTCACTACACTTCCAAGCATCCCGGTGGTGTAGCACGTATATTTTTGTGAATATTTCATCAATTCCCAGGGCCGGGTCCCTTGCCTCAACACCTCCCGTTTTATGGTCTTCGGACCCTGGGGCTGGGGGGCAGGGCCCATTCGCGCACCACCTGCGCCCCCCGAGGGCCCATACGCTGGTCCCCCCATACGGCTTTTCAGTCTATGGGTTCGGGTTGATAAATGGACACTCCGGGAACGCTTGGTGGTCGAGGCTTTCGGGGGCGCGGGAGGAGGAGGTGGAAAGGGCTGACAATTGAGGCTTCATCTATCATTACTGCAAATAGTTACGTGAGATTTTTAACCGAACTGCTTCACGTAAAGGTTGAATTGCGTAGCACATCCATAGGATAAAGGATCTATATTTTATTGTTATTAAAGGGACAAAGAAACGCCAGAATCTATCGTCGTCCACCACTAGGTATCGATAAGTACGCCACGCTCCATAACGCGCTGCTAACCATTTTTGGGAATACGATAACATATCTCTTGAGCCTTATATAGCATTGAGTACGGGTATTTTCGCATATCACTTAGTGGTCGAAACCTAGTCGAGGAAAAGTGTGGATTCATGAGATCCTCAGCTACTTTAAAGGACCCGTGAAGTCTCATTTTTTTGCTACCCTTTCAGTAAAGTCTGGTCGCTTCGGAATTTGCGCCAACCTGCGTGAGCTTGGTGTTGATCTCTCCGAGCACCTCCTTCAACGCCTCAAACATGCATTCGAACGCGGCTGTCGCGGATTACCCACACCACGTCGATCCGGTCGGCATTCAGCTCAAAAAATGCTTGTTAAGCTTTCAAAGTTCAAAGTAGAAAACACGAAATTCAAGAAATAGTCGAGAAGTGAGTGAAAGAGGGAGAGAGAGAAAAAAGAGGAATGGAGAGAGAGAGAGCGAGAGAGAGAAAAAGAGCAAAAAAAAACAAAGTTTTGGAGTTCAACCTCGAGTTAAAATCGATAAGACGCACAAGAGTCTCTCTTCAAAAAAAATCTGGACGCCCTGAATAATAGACAGCCACCCTTGTCCCTCTCGTTGTTCGTCATCGCGACTCTACGCAGATTACGAGGTACACCCGAGTCGTTTTTCGGCCTAGTCGTTCCGCCGGCCCGGATCCTGGACTTCCTGGATCAAAGGACACAAAAAAAACAGGAGGTCCTCTGGGATTACGTAGGTGGAGAGGAAGTCTAAATCAGAAACGGTACCTATATTAGATTATCAGAAGCTGGTCTCAAGCCAAGATGAGTATATTAGCTTATTAAACGAATTCTCAAGCCAGTTTCATCAATTTCAATTGGAATTTGATATTTAATAGAAGCCGTTTAACCCGTGAAAGTAATATAGCCGGGCCGCTAAAACCACGCCACCTGCCCGCAATTTCTGATATTAGAGCAGGTGTGCCCTCTGGAGTAATGAGGTGACGTTTGGCTACGTAGTGAGGGTGAAAATGCACATACGATTTTAGGGCAGCGATCTATTCCAGGCAACGCAGCCTTAAATAGCAATTTCCGACTGGAAAGGGATCAGAAAATAGGTGTAGTCGGAGTCATTTATGAAATCTCCTTCCAGCAAGAAATCACCGAGTAAGATCTTCAACCTAAAAGGGTAAAGAAAATCGAAAACAAATTGAGAAACAGGAATTACAGTTTCCAAATTCCGTAGGATAACGTATCGTTACGTAATTAACCCGGTTTTCAGTTTTACTGACAATCGATGAATAAAAACCCTGGCGGAACCTCGAAAAGGTTACGTTTGATGGCTCCCTAAATGCCAGTCAAGCGGCTTGACGTATCGTAGCGTAGTCAATGAAATACTTAAAGGGTAAGCTATGAATGCAAAAAAGGAAAGATAACGCCGTACGGAAGCTTCTAAAAACAGAAAAAGACGCGTCGTGTAATCGTAGCTGAGCGTAGAATTTTTTATGGCCTACGGCTACAAACTATAGGCCTCCCAACCGTGGCTAAATTGTCAAAATCAGAGTTTTTGAATGAATCTAGGTTCAAGGTTGGTTGCCAGAAAGGGGTGGGTGAGAAGGATGGCATCCGGGTTGGCCTGGGGCCCCCTGGTTGTGGGCCCTCGGTGGGCCCCCCGATCGATGTGGACTGAAGGGAAGGGAGGGGGCCACCACCCTTCTTCTGAATCCCCCTTCTATGCACTCACCCCCTTCCGCCCCCCTCCGGCTAGTCCCTAAACCCTGGAAAATCGCCGGCGCGACGAAAAAAAAAAATTGGGAACATTATTTTCATTACTCGCCGTAAGTATACGAGGCGTTCGGAAAATCTCAGAAAATTCTGAAAGCCTTCTCAATATTGCGAAATTTATTTAAGCAATAGACTGACAATTAATCCATTAAAAATCTTGCAATTTTTCGCCATTTTGTTTGAAAACGCGTTTAAAGCTACCTACGGTGTCGAAACCAATTATGCCCTTTACTACGGTATCCACCGTATCTTCACGTAACTTACCAATCTGGACGTACCTTACGATACCCACCGTATCATAACGTACCGTCAGTGTTGACCATTTTCCACAATAAATATAGCTTGAATCGTATCATCAAGTATCATTTCGTACGCTAGTGAGTGCTTCGCAGCGTAGCGTACTAGATGTCTTATTAAATGCGCTACCCCCTTCGCAACGTAATTTAACGTTTCGTAACGCCATGTATCAACTACTTAGGTGTCATTAGTAAATACCGTACGCATCGAATCTCATGGTATTGAATCGTGTTCTAGCGTATCGTTGCATAGCGGTTCATACAAAGGATTATTGCACGTTGCGCCACCTTGTCTACAAAATCATAAGGTACTTTGTCGAAGCTCCAGGTTACAATTAGGGAGTTTCTGCGTTGCACACGACATCGTCAGGTATCGTAGCGTGGCGTAGCGCATCGTGCCGTAGCGTGCGTATAGCGTAGTTTGTTCAAAAAATTATTAGACCCTTACCTAATTATTCAAAAAAAAAATGGCATAAAACTCATAACCATTTTAATCATATTATATTCGTAAGCCCATATACCCTTTTCCAGGGGCCGAAACAACAATTAGATGCGTTCGGCCAGTATACACAAACACGTCACCCGTTAATCCGCCCAGCAGCCATCTAGCCACCCCCTCTTCACTCACCCTGGTGTGCCATGCTAATGAGTCAACGGATGGACAGACACACACCATGTGTCTCAACCCTCGCCTGCGGGCACCCCCAAGCTGCTGCTTTCCTTTATTATTGCGCGAGCATCCGGGTGGGTGAAAGGGGCTTATCTGGGCGCTAAATCCCGCCAGAATCGGGCGAGTAGGTAGCGGAACTGAGATTTTAATGGAAAATTATTTATGGCTGAAAATGGGCTGGCGCTGTGCCTTTAACGAGAAGCGGATATTGTGTCTGTTGTTTTGCATCTTAATTATAGATAGTAGCTGGAAAACGGGGTTTTCTGATAACATCCAGGCCGAAGCTTAAGCCTGCGCCTGAGCCTGGGTTAAGCCTCAGCCTGAGTCTCAGCTTCTTAAGCCGGAGACTGAGCTTAAGTGTAACCTAAGCTTTGGTCTAAGTTAGTCTAGTTCTAGCCTAACCCTAAGCCCAAGCCTAAACGTGAATGAAGCCGAACCTAAGCCCAAGCCTAACCTAAGCTTACGTCCGTCAGCCCGTTTAAATTCGTGGAATAGCTCAAAAAAGTGTTGAAGTTCGGATTTAAAAAGGCCGGAAAGGAAGTCGAGCCTATCGGAAAATTATAGAGACCGAGAAGTCAGATGGCAAGAGGAATTCCTACGTAAAATTCGTAGTTTGTAGCCTCCAGAAACTAGTCCATACCGAGACACGTTGACATGTTTCGGTCTTAAGGTCTAACTAGTGCCAATTTCTGTCCACTACACCCTTCCTCCCAACAGCTTAGCTTTATTATTGCGCTGGTGCTGCCACGCACCCCACTGGGGCCCTTGGGCCCCCAGGGCGCATATTAGGAAATTGGGTGTTCGCGCCGAGAGTTGGGGCAATTCCGAGAGATCAAAGAGTGTCTGGCATCCGGGTGGAAAGAGAGAGAGACAGACAGATAAAGAGAGAGAGAGAGAGAGAGAGAGAGAGAGAGAGAGGCGCAAAGAATATGAGCAACGTCGTCGAGAGGGTGAGGGGAAGGGTGCTACTTCCTGGGCCTCCCACATACACACATCCAGTAGGGTTGCCGGCGGCCCTGCGCTTTTCCCCCTAGGGGCCTCAAAGCTGACAAACTGACTAATATCTTTGGTTGGTGGTCGGGGGGTGGGGGAAAATCCGGGAAGGAGGGTCTTGGAAAACTCAAAGAGCCCCGACGCGAATTTTGCATCTGCTGGTCGAGCCGATGGGTTCAGAATTCGGGCGAGAAATCGGGTTTTGAAGGTTTTAGGAAGTATTTTATTTAAATTATATGGTGTATATTACAAAGCAAAGGAAACAAAGACATTTAATCACGCGGGCCTATATTTGGCGCTTCTCGTAAAACTATTAAAATCGAGTACATTAAAACCGCATTTTAATCGTATGGAAAAGCAAGTAAGTTTCAACAACATTTCAATATAGTTTTTGTAAATCAGATCTGGCTTTTAAGACGACTTTATGCGTTTCTCTTGGCGAAAAATCTACAAAAATCAGCTTTAAATGGATCAAGAAGTCCGAGAAACCACCTATTTCTTCTACTAGGTCTCGACAACTACGCTCCTCGCCAACACACCCATGTAAATGCATTTGAAGACCGCGAACAGGATACCATAGCAGAAAAAACAGAACAGCTTGATCTGTGTTTTGCAGCATCGCGTAACTGGCTAGACTAACCGTCGGAAGAGCCAATTCTAGCGCTTCCTAGTCCCTTTAACTAAGCGAATGTAGCCGGATCAACAATCTCTTAGAGGCCAATGGCCATTTCCTGTGTCCCTAGGCAAGGCATCGTCAACCTGTGCCCCCACCCCCCTGGCGGGTTAACGGCTTCGGCGACTCGGGAATTGGATTTCCGGCCGTTTCACAGGAGGGTAGGAGGGGACGGAGGTGGCCGAGATTCTCGGTTTCTATTGGCTCAGGGTTGGATATCCCTTGATTTCTTATTTTATTGGACAACAGCTAGAAGACCATAAAATCTCAAACCTTGTGATTGGCATTCGGATCGGAATCGCCACAGGGTGTTCCAAAACCCCCCCCCCCCTCTAGCGGTCCGTGGGAAGCTCAGCTCAGGATGATTTTTATACCATTCGAACGCCCGCGAAAAGGCGAGAAAACAAGCGGGCTCCATTTTCTAAGATTTATTCTGATTCGTCCGATATTCAGCGTTTTTCTAAAAAACAGGTAGCTTTTTAATAGGAATTTCGCCATTAGCATGCGGATCTCGCGTAAATCAGCCGTTTTCATGGATTTTGGAGGTAAAATTCGCCAATAAAAATCCATAATAAAAAAAATTGAACCCTCCATGTTTCTTGCCTTTTCGAGAGCTTTCGATAGATACCTAAACGGCGAGAATCGGACATGTCTGGGCGCCGCTAGGGGGGTTTGGACACCCTGTATGGTGTTGTTTAAGTAGAGGGAGAGTGAAATTGACGAAAGCTGTCACTTCCAGGGAACACAAATTTTAATTGCTGAGAACCTTTTCTAAAAAAGAAAATTTATGAATTTCCGCGCTTCGAAATGGAAATTCTGAGGCCAATAAAGCTACCAGATGCAATAATTGTAAAAACTCGGGATAAAATCGTTTTAAATTTTGGGCAAGACCAGATGAAGAGAAAGTTTTCTTGGAATACAGTGTATATAGCGTTAATCAGCTCTCAAAAATTCTAAAAAAATGCTTGGATGACACCTTATTATGCAAATTTTTAGGTATAAACATTAACGTTAGGGTTTTTCGACAATTCTGATTCAAATGATTCTGCTTACCTAGAACCTAGAAGGGCCATATAACCTTCAAAAACGCACGCAAAAATTCGATTTTCACGTCCACTAGCAAAGCTAAGGCGAACGAGGAGCCGCAGCAAAAGCGGAATCGAATGGCGCGTAGGTGGCTTCATTCTAAGCTTCTCTCCGTGCAAGATGGCAAAAGAGACAGGAAGGTCCCCTTCCCCCTCCAGAGGGCACTTTTGCCGCATGGAACGATTGCATTAGACTCTCACGATCGGCCATGGGACGACGGGGCCAAGGCCACAGCCGTTTCAGGGGCCCTGGGCCCCCTAAATGGCCCTCGGGCCCCCCTCGGCACACATCCACACAAGCACCCCATGCATTTTTGGGCCACACCCCGGGCAGCATCAGGGCCAGCCGGTGCGTATTTTGCGAAGGGGGTAATGGGCCTGATGCGGGCCTTCGGATGGTGACGTGGTGGTGAAGCCTAAGCCTAAGTCTAAGGCTAAGCCTAAGCCTAAGCCTAAGCCTAAGCCTAAGCCTAAGCCTAACGGGGGCGATTTGGATTTTTGTTGTTAAGCAGATTCCGTTTCTTGACCTACAAATCTGCATAGGAAGAAAATCGAAAATTTCTGATGAAAAGGGTAGTGTTTTTGGGATTTTTTAGAAATAAAAAATTCTTTGGAGTATTAGAGTATGTCCGTATTTTTGTAATAGCTCTCGATCTGTAATGTAGATGTAATAATCGAATCGAATAGCTGAGGAAAAGCAATAATAAGCATCATAACTATAGTTTTATCAAAATTGAAGTGCTCTTAAGTGCATACGTATTCTGGCGTCCGAGGTTCGGGAAAAACCAAAATCCCGACATTGAAAAACTCAGCAGCCAAAATCCTGACCCCCAAAACCCCGACAGCTAAAATCCCGACGACGAAAATCCCAAAAGCCAAAATCCCAAAAGGTAAAATCCCGACAACCAAATACCCGACAAAGGCAAAATGCCTACATCTAAAATCCCGAAATACAGACATGGCATTAAAACTAAGGTCACGAATCGGTTGGTATTTTGGCTTGTCGGGCTTTTGCCCATTGGGATTTCATCTGTGCGGTTGTCCTGATATTATTGGATATTATGGCAGTCCTTATTTGCTTGAAATTCTCGAAGTTCGCACCCCCCCCCCCTTAACTATCGGACGTAGCGTCAGAAGTTCGGACGTTCGAGCATTACCCGTTCATGGAATTAGGGAACGACCTTTGCTAATGTTCAAAAATTCCTCTATGCTAATTTTAACTAACACAAATACCCAAATGACACGCCAAAATTGACGAATTTGAATTGGCGCGCCAGCCAGACGGATCTGGTGGTGTCCGCCGAGTAATTGGGTAAACGAAATTCACCCCGAAAAAGGGGGAGATCCTCAAAAAAATAGCGGCGGACGGTCCCATTTTCACGCCGCTCCACATCGGCTGGCGGAAGATAATTGGTCACCAGAGAATTGGATGGGCCAAGCATGGGATGGTGGTGGCAGAAATTTGAGGAGGCTCGGAAAATGGCTAAAAATGGGAGAAAAAACAAATGGCGTAGAATTTATCGCTAGCAGTCAAAAAAAACGAGGAATCCCTTTTAGTCCACCCAATATTAAAATTTCATCGGCCATTTCGCAAGTTTGACGGAATTGTTTTAATATTTATCGACACGAGATCATGTTGGGAAAAAAATTTCTGCGAAAATCGAGACTAGGCCAATTCCTGAAGCTCGGTAGCTGCGCGATAACTTCGAACGGCTGACGACTCGGCCCAGGATTGGATTTTTACTAAAATTATCTCGTTTCGAATTTAACTTGAGAACCTTACCTTCTCCATATAACAAAAATATCACCAAGGAAAAGATGTTCAAAACCGCTCCTGTATAAAGCGCTATCGTCCATTTGTGAGGCCAGTTCTGAAATGCTTACATTAAGTGCCTCCTCCCCCCGATATTTAAGGATCAAAGATTCTAATCTTCTTTAGAGCAATACTGACCATAAAATCAATTAACGTAATAAGCTGCGATACTCCGATTCCAGCGATAGTTAGGTATGCCATGGCTATCGACGAGATTGTCCCGGTGTAGGGTGGAGCTATCGTAACCAACGAGGTGAAGGAGCCAGGGATAGAGGCGGAGAAGGCGGTACCTTAAGAGAAAATCTTTTGAAAGCTATAGCTCCTACCGTATAACATTAACAACGGCAATGCCATCCACGTTCTATCACAGCTTGGTAGATGAACAAGGCCGATTAAACTTGCACTTACGCCGAGGGCACCTAAATAAAACTTTTTCAGCCGAGTTTTTTCGATATTTATTTTCTTATAGAATTTATTGAGACATTATGACGTTATCAAAGCTTCTTTAACTTACTAAAGATCTGAAAACCCTTCCCCATCTTTGTCGGGTCTAGCTGCTTCTCCTTCTTCAACCAATCGCTCACCCAAGACAATACGTTTTTGAAGATAATTTGCGAGATAAATGGCGTCATTGTGTAGAGGCCGTTCTAGGAGCATAATACCCTTTAAAATAAATTTTTGCGTACCTTATGAATCGGCAAGTAGAGCTGATCTTTCAAATATAATGGTAAAAACGTCTGGACCCATACGGCACAGTATCCAAAC